GTTTACGTGCCCGTTCAAACAAAATGTAAATTCGTCAGAAAACAATATGTGGGTGATAAAGTCGACATTTTCGTTTAATTTATCCATAATAACTTCGCAGAACTCGATTCTACGATCATAATCGTCTTCACTGAATAAATTTTATATGGATGTAATTTTTCCTGTTCACAAATTTTTTAAATGGAATAGCGACTCATGATTTAAAGCCAGCCCTCTGTTGTGTCGAATTTATTGGATTTTCCACACATTTCACATGACATCCAGAGATTTTTTCATTTGTAATGCTTACTGGTCTTTTCGTCGATCTGTAACAGCTCCAGTTTCATGCAAACAGTGCACTGTTTTTAAAACGTTTAATACAGAAATACTTACGTTCCCGATCGGGATGCAACTGTTGAAAAGTATTCACTACTTCGTCACAACTTCGTCTTCTGTCACCATATCGTATGATCATTAAACCTGCAATAAGCTCGGTTTCACTTAAAAGTGCCATTTTTGCGGAAAAATTATTCACACTAATGCCCGTTTGCACCGAAGTTAATAAGCATTACTTAAAAATAGGAAATGCTTAAGTAAGCTTTTTGTATTGCACCATACGTTAAGATCTTCTTAAGTATAGAAACAGATTCTTAAATTTAAGCCTCAGTTTGACAGCGACTTATGAAGTTCTTTATTCAAACAAATGGAATGCGCAAAACACTAAAATGTGTGTTAATGTGTGTGGTATTAAAGTAGGTAGTTGTAGAAAAAGTATTGTGGATATTCGATTGAATGACATATTTGAAGATGATTTAGATGTTCTGGAAATTATAGATTTCCAGATTAAATTATACAAGATCTGACTAGTCAATATAATAGACGAATTGAATTTTTATAAAATATTTCGTCTTACAAAACAGACTTGTCTGCGAATTTTACCGTTGATAGAGGAAGTACTAGAATATAAGAAGTACTAGAATCTTGAGGAAATTATTATTTTAATTTTATCTCTGATAACTAGTCTTTTGGTCAACATCAACAACAACCATATATTATTGTATATTACATTTACAACAAACACCATACACCACAGACATGACACGACAAACCGTACACCGAAACCTAACCTAATTTTTCATAAGTCCATGTAACAAACTGAAGAAAATCAGAAAGAACTAAAATACCTAACATAAAGTAATTAAAGTTACTAGATTTCTGCGTTGTTGCCAATACATACCTAGGCGTACCTACTTTGCTAAGTATAGTTTGTGATCCGTCGGCGCAATGCTCTAAAAAAATAAGTATAACTTAATTTTAAGAACAACTTTATTAAGTCGTTCTTAGGATAATGTCGGTGCAAACGGGCATAAATGTATTTTTGACATGTGTTGTCAAAATAATCACTACTAAACAAAAGAACGATGCAGCGTTGCTATGGAGCTAGAATATTCCAAAGGTAACTTGATGGACTAGAAACAAAATGGACTAAAATATGGTTGTATAATTTATAAGAAAATGATTTTCAAAGTTCGATATCTCGAAAACGGTTAATTTAGGTACATGATGTGCTATATGAATTTTGTTTAGAATTTTGGAGAAGAACTGAAATATGGAATAATATACAGGGTGTTCCATTAAAGAAAAATAAATTTTGTTTCGCCATAACTTTTTGACCGATACTTAATTTTTCTTTATAGTAATAGATTTTGGAAAANACATGTAAATATTCTTATAACATTTACTTGCTTAGTCCTACATATAAAATTGTTTACTTTTATTTATAAGTACGTGAAAATAATTCTTAAAATGTGGGGTTAGAATAACAGCAAACGCATGTTTTACAAACGCTTATTTTTAGTTATTATTTTATTTGAGTAAATTTAAATGGTAACAATGAATAAACAAAACATCAAGGATTTCATTTTTGTGCTTACTTTTGTCCTACACGTTATAATTTTAAAGATTTCAGTACCTAAAAACGCCAGAAATTTCACTATTTCTCGGCCGGAAATATTACCACCTTAAGTAAGCTTTTTGTACTGCACCATACGTTAAGATCTTCTTAAGTATGGAACAGATTCTTAAATTTAAGCCTTAGTTTGACAGCGACTTGTGAAGTTCTTTATTCAAACAGACTTGTAGCGTGCGCAAAACACTAAAGTTTCAAAGAAAAAACGCGGAAAGTGCAGATGGTCAGTGTTAATGTGTGTGATATTAAAGTATTGTGGATATTCGATTGAATGACATATTTGAAGATGATTTAGATGTTTTGGAAATTATAGATTTTGGGTTTCCCAGATTAAATTATACAAGCTATGAATATTTCCATACAATGGACGAATTGAATTTTTATAAAATATTTCGTCTTACAAAACAGACTTGTCTGCCAATTATACCGTTGATAGAGGAAGTACTAGAATAAAAGTACCAGAATCTTGAGGAAATTATTATTTTTATTTTATCTCTGATAACTAGTCTTTTGGTCAACATTAACAACAACCATATATTGTTGTATATTGCATTTACAACAAACACCATAGACAAGACACGACAAACCGAACACCGATACCTAACCTAACCTAACCTAACTTTTCATAAGTACATGTAACAAACTGAAGAAAATCAGAAAGAACTAAAATACCTAACATAAAGTAAAAGTTACTAGATTTCTGCGTTGTTGCCAATACCATACCTAGACGTACTTTGCTAAGTATAGTTTATGATCCGTCGGTGCAATGCTCTAAAAAAATAAGTATAACTTAATTTTAAGAACAACTTTATTAAGTTGTTTTTAGGATAATGTCGGTGCAAACGGGCATAAATGTATTTTTGACATGTGTTGTCAAGATAATCGCTACTAAACAAAAGTCATTACAGGCTGTGGAAAACATAGCCCTCCGCACGGCCACCGACGCGCCCTGGTACGTAAGAAACACTGACATATTACGAGACTTACAATNAGTCGACATTTTCGTTTAATTTATCCATAATAACTTCGCAGAACTCGATTCTACGATCATAATCGTCTTCACTGAATAAATTTTATATGGATGTAATTTTTCCTGTTCACAAATTTTTTAAATGGAATAGCGACTCATGATTTAAAGCCAGCCCTCTGTTGTGTCGAATTTATTGGATTTTCCACACATTTCACATGACATCCAGAGATTTTTTCATTTGTAATGCTTACTGGTCTTTTCGTCGATCTGTAACAGCTCCAGTTTCATGCAAACAGTGCACTGTTTTTAAAACGTTTAATACAGAAATACTTACGTTCCCGATCGGGATGCAACTGTTGAAAAGTATTCACTACTTCGTCACAACTTCGTCTTCTGTCACCATATCGTATGATCATTAAACCTGCAATAAGCTCGGTTTCACTTAAAAGTGCCATTTTTGCGGAAAAATTATTCACACTAATGCCCGTTTGCACCGAAGTTAATAAGCATTACTTAAAAATAGGAAATGCTTAAGTAAGCTTTTTGTATTGCACCATACGTTAAGATCTTCTTAAGTATAGAAACAGATTCTTAAATTTAAGCCTCAGTTTGACAGCGACTTATGAAGTTCTTTATTCAAACAAATGGAATGCGCAAAACACTAAAATGTGTGTTAATGTGTGTGGTATTAAAGTAGGTAGTTGTAGAAAAAGTATTGTGGATATTCGATTGAATGACATATTTGAAGATGATTTAGATGTTCTGGAAATTATAGATTTCCAGATTAAATTATACAAGATCTGACTAGTCAATATAATAGACGAATTGAATTTTTATAAAATATTTCGTCTTACAAAACAGACTTGTCTGCGAATTTTACCGTTGATAGAGGAAGTACTAGAATATAAGAAGTACTAGAATCTTGAGGAAATTATTATTTTAATTTTATCTCTGATAACTAGTCTTTTGGTCAACATCAACAACAACCATATATTATTGTATATTACATTTACAACAAACACCATACACCACAGACATGACACGACAAACCGTACACCGAAACCTAACCTAATTTTTCATAAGTCCATGTAACAAACTGAAGAAAATCAGAAAGAACTAAAATACCTAACATAAAGTAATTAAAGTTACTAGATTTCTGCGTTGTTGCCAATACATACCTAGGCGTACCTACTTTGCTAAGTATAGTTTGTGATCCGTCGGCGCAATGCTCTAAAAAAATAAGTATAACTTAATTTTAAGAACAACTTTATTAAGTCGTTCTTAGGATAATGTCGGTGCAAACGGGCATAAATGTATTTTTGACATGTGTTGTCAAAATAATCACTACTAAACAAAAGAACGATGCAGCGTTGCTATGGAGCTAGAATATTCCAAAGGTAACTTGATGGACTAAAAACAAAATGGACGAAAATATGTTTGTATAATTTATAAGAAAATGATTTTCAAAGTTCGATATCTCGAAAACGGTTAATTTAGGTACATGATGTGCTATATGAATTTTGTTTAGAATTTTGGAGAAGAACTGAAATATGGAATAATATACAGGGTGTTCCATTAAAGAAAAATAAATTTTGTTTCGCCATAACTTTTTGACCGATACTTAATTTTTCTTTATAGTAATAGATTTTAGAAAACCCTAAAGCGTTTGTGTTTTATGATTTTTCGATAACTATCTTACTTTCGGTGATAATCGACCGTTTCCATACATATCAGCATCCCTGTATATTGAATTGGTAACATTGCGACGGCGACGGCTTGTTAGAATTAGTGTCCTGCTGCTCTATAGCCATTGTCAACCCTTAGACTTTCGAAAAATCCCCCTGATTATCCCATGACGACCCAAAAAGAATACTGACGGCCACTTATCTAACAATTCCCGAATCGGAAATCAAAAGCGCCTCACCCCTTCGCCACTTCCTGCTGCCCCGAGACCATCGTGGGCGTAAGGCCCTCGCTCCCGAAATACCCGAAAAAATACACAAGGAATCCTAAAACAAGCGATATCGTATGCCCCAGTGCACACCGCGGCTATAAAACGACCCGCGATCCAGAGCGCCGCCAGTCGACAGTCAGCTGTTCGTTTCGTTCGATCGCAGCCTGCCGTGCCTTCTAGTTTCGCTCTTGCCGGTTCCCTTTTGTCGCTTATCGGTTTTTCAGTGGTCATGGCTACCTACGCAGCTTACAGACACATCGAGCTGGACAAGGTCGGCTACAGCAAAAAAAGGTGAGTCCTGAGGGGTGGGTTTCTTATGTGGGGGGATGCGAGTAACGATCCGGGAGGGCGTTCACCCCGGGTGTCGGTCAGGTGCACCGGTTGTGCCGTTCTAAAATCTAAAATGTATGTTAATCGATGGAGATGCATCGCTGATTCCGAGGATTCGGTTTTTCTGCGTTTCCGTGTCTTTTGTTGTTTGAAATTTATGTGATTCTGTTACGCTCCAGATGTCATTCGGGTGGCAACGAAATTCTAGGAAGACGTTCGGTCTAGAGGTACAGCTAGATGTTCGGGAATTGCACGACATTGTTTTGTGAGATTGTGAGAATCAGTAGAATTGCAAACAATCTGCACAGCTAAATCACTTCAAAATTGATACAACTTCGTAATTTCCCCTTAACAGATTTATCAAATTTCAATAATAAATAAAAGTACGGTTTTTTATCAGCTTCAAGAACCAACAAACCTATTTTTGATATTTTAGAATACATATGATTGATTTTAGATATCAAAATGATTATGATATTTTTGAAAACTAAAGATGCCCTTTGTGCCTCATGAATTTTCAGTAGGCAGTTATATCGAGACATGACAACTCAAAATGGCCATTTCAAGAGTTGCTTCTCTCAATGAAAGTAAACCTATTTAGATTAAGTTATTTTACTACAGTTTTCTGTCCTTAAAAGTTTCAAACCCTCATAAAAAAAATTTATTTCATTTTTTTAATGTAATTATCTTCTGTTTTGACATATAATTCAAACCGTGAAAGTCAGTAGAATTTCAAACAATGTGAGCAAAATGACATTAATTATATAAAAATTAAGACAACTCTATAATTTCTAAATAATATAATAAATATATTAGGTATCTTCGCAATTTTGTTAAAATTTCGGTGGTATTTGTTGAATAAATGTATAGTTTTCTATCTGCTTCAGGAAAAAGTGTACCTGTTTTTAGATAGATTTCAAATATGTAAAATACAATAATGAAAGAATTCAAAGAAATATTTTTGACTAGGTATGTACTTAACCCAAAATGGCCCCGCTTTAACAAATAAATATTTTATACCAGAAACGAATGGTCCGAAAACTGCTTTTTTCATAAAAAATATACCTCTTTAAATCAAAAGACTTTAGTATATTTTTTTCCTTAAAAAGTTACAAGCCCTTTATTTTTCTTATTTCTTTATTTTATTTTAGTCTCTTGTTTATTATATTTTTGTTCAGAATGTGAAAATCAGAAAAACTGCATCTTTCTGCGTAGCAACATGGATATGTATATTATATTTCCTAATTTTCTTAAAATTTCGGTAATACTGAATGAATGTACAGTTTTCTATCAGTTTCTGAAAAAAATGCGGGTATATGTATTTTTTATCTTTCAGAACATTTTTTGGTAATTTTAAATGTCAAATATAGTGATAAAAGAAATATTTTTTAATACTAAATATACACTTTGTGTCATAAATTATTAATAGGCCGCTAAATACTATGTTAGATCAAAAAATGAACTGTTCAGGTCTTCTAAAAGAATATTCAATTATTATACAGAATATCCGGAAGCGAAAGTTCAAAAATTAGCTTCTTCCATTAAAGCTATTTAGATTAAAGTACCTACCTACTTTAGCAAAATTTTCCTTTCTTTGAAAATTATGAATTTTTTCAATTTTTTTTAAATATATCTCTTTTTCTTGAAGATACTTCACTAAAATTATGCATGGGTTTGTTTTTTGGTATATTTCCTTGTTGGTAGTATAAAAAAAAAGGATACTTGAAGCATGAAGTCAAATTGCATCATTGTAGAAAAAAAAATCATTGTCGTTTTCCGCTGCAATTAATTAAATTTCACTTCATAGATAAAGCAGTTGTATTAGTCTTTTTTATATGTAGTTTAAAATTGTTGGTCTCTAATCAGCTTCTACGGAAAATTAACTATTGTGGTTTCCCCAAACAACATTTAGAATCCTGTATTTTTTTAAAAGTTCTACCAGGAAAAAAAAAGGACAAATTCTTAATTTATTCTCTATAATACTTATATTCGATTATTCTAAATAAATTTCATTGAAATATCTTAAAACTGAAGGGAGCTTCCTTAAGAAATATAAAAAAATGAGGTCTATAACATTAGGAAGTAAAATTGTACCAAGGCGTTGATCTAAATCGGCTTAGTTTCATCAAAAAAAAGTACGGCTATTTGTTTCCGGATGTCCTGTGAATATTTTACCATCCTTAGATATGAACTGGAGTTAATATATGAGTTTTTATTAAAAAACTATCGGTATTAAATAGTATATTCTTTCATTAAATATTTATATCAACATTAAAATTATTTGTCCTCAGACTGTGTGTATTTTTACTTACGTCGCTGTCATATTGACACATAGTGACATAAAATTTCAATGCTGCTTAAGACTCAAAAGCACCGTTTTTATTCAAACATTTCAATATTTACTGAATCTGTATCGATCATTTTTAGCAATAATATACAGGGTGTCCCTGAAAAGGATGGACAACGCTTGACCACAGATTCCTTGGATGAAAATAAGACTATTTAGCCTAACTTACCTATATACAAAAGTGCACGCCTACCGAGATATAGCATTCTAAATATAGAATAGATAACCTAGTTTTTTTCAAATAATTTGAAAACTATTTTTCTTAGAAACTTCAAATTGGACACACTTATTTTTTTATGTAAGGGCAAGGAAAATATAGAATTTGGTGAGAATACATATACAGGATGTTCTCTTTCTAGTGCCTGTGCGCCACTGGCTATCCCGTAACTTTTTTGTGTGTGCGCCAATGACGACAGAATTATTTAAAATAAGCATTAATTTAGAAGATTTTTTGCTCTTACAAAATTTTGATATTGTTTATGGATTTCGAGTAAAATTGGCATTTTTTATACATTAAATATAGGCAAAAATTCCCATTTGTTAAAAATAATTTATAACTGCAGCCTCAAAACAGGGAATAATAATGAAAAAACTTCACATTAAAAAAAATAACTACACATTTTTAGTATTGGTATTATCAAATCAATAAAATAAAAATCAACACTAATATTTTAAATAAACAGTTTCAACTAATAATGTAAGAAAATCAACATTAACATTTTAAATAAACCTAAATTTATATTTGTAATCACATTAAAATAATATTACAGTAAATGCTCAAAGTTGCTTCCTTGTTCTTAAACGCAAGCATTAGTTCTTCGAAAATGAAAATGAATTTTATCCAATAATTGTGCATTACCTCTCATAACACTAATTTCATGTTGTATTCTTTCCCATTATTCGTTTTCTGTATTTACTGAAAAGTTATAAACTGTGGTCCGCAACGCTTCCCAAAGGAAATAATTACATGGGTTTAGGTCCGGGGATCGAGGTGGCCATTTTAAAGGGGGCATTGTCAATAAAATTTGACAAATGTCAAAATGGAAATGTCAAATTTAGAATAAGAAACAAACCGTTACATGGCATCGAGCACAATAGTCGAAACTTATGACTTGCTTCTTGAATTCTACAGTAAATATTATTGCATTAATTAAATTAAAACTTATATTGAACGATCCCATAATCAAACTTGTCTGGTTAATATCGTATCAATTTTTTTAAAGCTCTTTCAGAGACTGAAATATATTTTCAAGTAATGATTTACGACCCACAACACAAAATATACTTTTTAAAAATACTGCTTTTTATTGGCCTTTACTTTTATTGGCGTTGATAGGCATTCCTTTAATAATCGCCTCTGTTTCGATTAACATCGGTGTATTCGCGGAAGGATTTCATCATCCTAAAGTTTACATTCGCATTCTCCATTGATTAGAAATCTTAAAGTTCATAAAAACAGAAACTTTCCACCGCGCTTCATCACAATCGAGCATCGGTTAGAAAGGCACCATCCCAAAAAATAAATAATTTAATTGCGGTAATCAATATGTTATTATACCCATTACCAACAATGGTAACCGCCGAATCATCAATCACTCACCAGTGCAAGTAAAATTCCTGTTGGGCACGGCCAAAGTTTGTTGCCCTTAGAGAAATCGATAAGTAATTTCTTCTACGGACGGGAATACATTGTATGGAAAGATCTATTAAGAATATATGTACATAATTTATTTTACATGCATTAACTTTGTGATAATAGCTTGATTGCCGAGTCATACGCCTTGTACAGGGTGTCGCATGCACCGTCATCGTCAGAGAGCAAATGCAATCCACACGATTAAAATGATATGACTTTAAGGTAGGGCCACACGAACGCAAAACGTATGTCCGTAGTAACGTTCGCTATTAAACGCGAATATAATATGGACCGTTGGATTTACTCTTTTTTGTCATTTGACAATAAAATATTTGAAAATGCTACAACGTAGATGTCCTAATATACAGGGTGTCCCATTATTTCATGCACATGAAATTACCGCAGTTTTGTGAAATAAAAATAAGCAGATTTAATTAAACTTACCTCTATTCTAAGTTGCTTTGTTTTGACAAAAAAAAAATATTTTTCAAATAACGTCTTATAAGATTTTATTGAAATTTGGCACATTGATATTTCAAAGTAATTGAATTAACAGAATTATGAAAAATTTATCTTATCATTTCAGACCTCAACTTCGATAGCTAATCGGCAGGTCCGAGAATCTGCCTTATTCAACAAAGCATGGTTTACCGGAAGTTGGGCGGTTTAACAACTGCGGTTGTCGTCGCGTACTGAGTTTTCAACCACGACGGTTTTTCTGAACCTCTGCTACTGGCATAACATGCGGCTGACATTCGTCTCGAGAGTTTGACGTTTGAAAAAATAACACTTTCTACTTTCCGTAGACTACACACTAAAATTTCTAACTTCCTTTGTGGTCCGACACGCCTGTTGATTACTGGTAGATTAAAGTAGAATTAGCTATGGATGTTAAAGGATTATAATAGAAATATTATTGTTATATAAGAATCTTGTAAACACCATAGAAACAAGATCTGGAGATACTTGAATACCTCG